CCCACTTTGTCTCTAGTGTCCATCACAATTTTTAATGCTTTTAAGTCCTCCAGTCTTTCAGTCTCTACCATAGAGTACGGACAGTTGGTATATGTTAAGTGGAGGCATACAATGTCTCTCTTTCGTGAACTTTTTTTTTGGGGGGGGGATAGGTTTTTGCTATAGGGCACATGCGCTTGCCAGAAAGAGAGAGAGAGAAACAGAGACAGAAAGAGAGAAATCACCCCCCGGGGGGATGGCCACGCCACAATCCCTTCTCCTCCATTCTCCTCTCCAGATCTTGGGCATGCACAAACATACGCCCGGCGTGAGTTTAAGCCACCAGGTCCAGGACTTGAACCGCGATTGACTACATGGGAATCCAGCAACATAGCCATTACACCAACTGCTGGTCCTCTGGACTTTTGCTCCACAGCAACCAGGAACAGTAGATGCTAGCTCTTTCCATTACTCTCCAAAGCCATAAGATGTTCCCAACCAACTTCTTTTCCAAATATCTAGCTTACGACTTTTCTATCTCTACTCCAAACCCTACTGTCTTCCAAATTCCTAGCCTACCATCACCTCCTGGAAGCCCTTCAGGAAGAAGCGACATTCTCTCCAAGAAGATGAGGCCCATATTCTTCCCTTCCTCCCATCCATGGGGTTATGTAGGACACTAAGTCATTCCTCATCTCCATGAAGTCCCCAGCAGAGAAGGCTGGAGGCTAGATTATGAAGGGAGGCCCTGTTGACTCCCCAAGTCAGCTTTCCCAGAGCACCTGCAGCCTGGAACCTCACCTTGTGGACTTAGCTGTCCGTTAACACACCACCCCAAATGGCATCTCGTTCTCAGTGGTCCCTAGCCAGGTGCACAAGAGGTCCAGGGAGCTGAAGGTAGAACAAGAGCTCTGAGAACAGCCACTGAGACGGGGATCCAACACCATCCAAGAAACATGGTGACATCCATTCCCTTATCCTAAAAAACTTACACTGGAAAGAAAGATACTGGAGCAGTAGCAGTTCTAATATTAGAAAAATACACACCGTGAAGCTGGCTGGTGGCATAGTAGTTAAGAGTGTTGGACTCTCACATAGCCGACCATGGTTCAAGTCCTGGACCTGGTGACTTGCTTTCTCACTTTCCCTGTCTCTCTCTCTCTCTCACTCTCACTCTGTCCTTCTCTGGTCAAATTAAAAATAAATAAAGTTAAATAAAATAATTCTTTTTTAAAAAAATATACACTGGAGATGCTTTTGTTCTTCTATTTTCTTCATTTTCTATGATGTGGCTTTTTTAAAAATTTATTTTATTTATGATAGTTCATGTGTGCATGAGGGAAAGAAAGGAGAAAGGGAGAGAGAGAGGTGCATCCTTGACACAGTCTTGTTAAACTGTGATGCCACACCCCCAGCCCTCCAGCCATCATGATCTGGGGCATTCATGTGCACATGTGCAACTGACAGGTCAGGTCAACCAGACTGGGGATTCAAACTCTTGGCCAACCATGTGACCTCCAGCATTCTGGTTTAGTATGCTACTGACGGTGCCACTGAGGCAGGCGATGTGGCTGTGTTTTTTGTAATGAAAGGTCATTTTAGTGACTGTGCACCTGGAAGAGAGGATCCTTCCCCACAACCCAAGTGGAGAAGGCACGCACCCAGCAGGTCGCAGTCTGCGCTCTGGCCTCCTTGACCCCTCCACAGGTCCTGCCATTTATCACACTGATCCTGCTGCCATTCTGCCAATTTCCATTTCAGTGGCCTGGGAACACTGCCAGAAAGGAACATCTCTGACAGTGTAAGGCATTTTTGCATTTGCTGACTACAGCAAGTGGCTCTGCAGCTTCCTCAGCAGAGAACCTGCTGGGAACACCCGTGGGGAGATCGGTCATTAAGTCCCTATGGCCGTTCGATGCTTTTCAGTTGTTCTCGGATCTCCCAGCCTTCCACCCGTTCACGCTCACAGAGCCACAGAAAGCTGGCCATCGCCTCCACTTTGCAGATAAGACAGCCAACTCTTCCCGATGCTGAATGGCATTGGCTGAGAGTAACCAGCGAGGACTTCTCATGAAGCACCATGGGGCTCAGGAAAGGTTATCTAGGTGACTTGGCTGAAAGAAAGCTTTCATTTTGTAAAGACCACTGGGTATTTTTTCCCTACTTTCCAGTTTGGGCCTTAGTCGCCGTGTCAGTGGGACATGTGGGCTGGAGACTCTGAGCACCCGTGTTCTTCAGCCGCTAAGGAGGGCCAGGGAGGACAGAGGAGGGGAAGGCTGGCATGGCTGCATGTTGAGGTCAAGGAAAATAAACATGGCCTCCAGAAAGGTCCTCGGGCTGGCTCAACCACACTCAGGTACAAGGCACCTTTACCAGCCAGGGAGGGTTGTCCCGGGATGGCAGGTCCCGATCTGTGCACCTAAACCAGGTGCCATTGGGTCCTCCCTGGACCACTGCAGGGGCTCCCCACTGGTCCTCCACGCCCGTCTTCACTCCCAACCTTAGACTGCTCCAACAGCAGCCGGCGGAATGAGCTGCTCCAAACCCAGCCAGATTTGACCGAATCACCCCTGCTCCAAACCCAGATCTGACCGAATCACCTCGAAAGGACTCATGGCGCTGAAGTTGCCCGCACCACACTCAGGTTGCCAGGCCTTCCCTCTCCAGTCTCCCCCCATCATTCTGAACTTGCTCTCGGCCTTCCGGAAGCACCTGGCTCTCCCCAAGGACCCACAGGGCTTTCCCACTAGCTCCTAGCAGTTACTGCTCCTTCTGCCCCAAGCCCTCTTTGCCAGCTCACATCCCCTCCCTCCACCTGGCCTGGCCACGTCAGGTATCAGCCTAGCCAAATGCCACTTCCTCCAACACATTTCTTTAGCTCCATCTGAGTTAAATACCCTTCCTGGGGGTGACCACAGACCCACTCTCCCCTTCCCTGAGCATCTATTTCTGTAGTGTAACTGCCTGCCATAAACCGCTGAGAACAGAACCTGGTCTTCCTCACAGGCACTCAGTGAATCTTTGCAGGAAGCGTGTGGCTGCCTCTCCCTTAGGGTCATAAAGTCCTAGCGGCTGGGCGTGTGGCTGTGGCTGTGGCTCTGCTCCAGCTGGCTGTTAGCAAGTCACTCCGCCTCGGGGCCTGTTCAGCCATCCCTGTGCGAGGGGGCTGGGCCAGTGCTAGGGACTGCTGCCTGGGACTGGGACCAGGGGCTTTGGCATCCCCAGGAGCTTGTTAGAAATGTGGAGTTGGGGGACTGTCAGTAGGCATAATGGCTATGTCTATAGACTCCCATGTAGTCGACTGCGGTTTAAATCCTGGACCCAGTGGCTTAAACTCACACCGGGCACGTGTGCGTGCGTGCCCAAGATCCCAAGAGGAGAATGGAGGAGAAGGGATTGCGGTGTGGCCATCCCCCCAGGGAGTGATTTCTCACTTTCTATCTCTCTGTCTCTCTCTGTCTTTCTGGCGAGCGCACGTGCCCTACAGCAAAAACCTCTTAAAAAAAATGTGGAGTTGGGGGTCAGCCCACGGCGTGGTAGTTAAAGTGGCTAGATCCCACAAAGCCAACCAAGCCGTTTGAGTCTCAGGCCCAGTCGCTCGAAAACATGCCGACACATGTGTGTGCATGTCCCAAATCCCCCAAAAATGGAGAAGTGGAGGAAAGGGGACTGCAGCATGACCATCCGCCATGGGGAGATACTTTCTCACCTTCTCTCTCTCTCTCCTCTCCAGTGAGCACACACACCCTCTGGCAAATTTTAAAGAATGGTAATGTTGGGCCAGCAGGTGGCATGGTGGTTAAGGCGCTGGACTCCCACATAGCTGACCGTGGTTCAGGTCCTGGACCTGGCAGCTTGCGTTCTCACTTTCCCTTTCTCTCTGTCCCTCTCCAGTCAAATAAAAATAAACAAAATTAAATAAATCTTTCTAATTCTCTTTCTCACACATGTACCCTATAGCAAATTGAAAATAATAATGATAAATAGAATTCAATCGTTAGTGTTTAAATGATAATGTATATGGTAATATCTCTGACTTGACTGATGTATACCGCATTCATGCTTTAAAAAACCATTTTGTATGCTATAAAGATGTGCAGTGATTAAATGAAAAAAATTTAAATGTAAATAAGTAAATATTTTTTTAAAAGGTATGGTATGGCAGGTGGGGGGGAGACAAAGAAATGCAGACTTGGGCCAGCCCAAGGCCTAGTGGTTAAGTGGCCAGATCCACATGGCTGACTTCAGGGTTGGAGTCCTGGACCCACCAGCTTGAGAAACTTGCCAGGCGTGTGTATGTTTGTGCCCAAAATCCAGAAAGGAGGAAAGGAAGGAAGAACAGAGGAGAAAGGATTATAGAATGACCATGCCCCGTAGCGGGTGCTTTCTCACTTTTCTTCTCTCTCCCTCTCTCCAGCAAGTGCACACACCCTTTGGCAAACAAACAAACAATACAAATAAATAAATAAAAATGCTGTCTTGCCCTCCATCCCCGAGATCTACTGGGTCGAAATATCTGGGGTGGAGTCCAGCCATCTGGGTCTCACAAGCTCTCCAGAGAATTCTCTCTCTCTCTCTCTCTCACACACACACACACACACACACACACACAGGCATGTAAAAGCCTGAGAAGCAGGTGCATATTGTGGCTGAAGATTCCTCTTCCCACCTCTGCAGGTGGACTTTGAAGACGTGATCGCGGAGCCCGTGGGCACCTACAGCTTCGACGGCGTGTGGAAGGTGAGCTACACCACGTTCACCGTCTCCAAGTACTGGTGCTACCGGCTGCTGTCCACGCTGCTGGGCGTGCCGCTCGCCCTGCTCTGGGGCTTCCTGTTCGCCTGCATCTCCTTCTGCCACATCTGGGCCGTGGTGCCGTGCATTAAGAGCTACCTGATCGAGATCCAGTGCATCAGCCACATCTACTCGCTCTGCATCCGCACCTTCTGCAACCCGCTCTTCGCCGCTCTGGGCCAGATCTGCAGCAGCATCAAGGTGGCGCTGCGGAAGGAGGTGTAGCAGGTTGGGCGATGGGGGTGGCGGGCGGGGGCAGAGAGGCCAGGCCAACCCCCTGGTTCCGTGTCATTAGGCGGCTGGCGAGCTCTTTCTCTTTAGGGACTACTCGAGTTCCCCCCCACGTTGGGAGCACACTGTATAGGGAAGTCAGAAAGAAAGGACAGCCCAGCCACCGAAGCTCAGAGGCCCTTCACCCTGCCCGGGCACCCCGGCGCCACCCTGGTGCCCCCATGGCCGGGCCTGAGGGAAGATCGTTTGCTAAGAGGCAGCTACCGCAAGTCTTGCATTCACCTGTACTGTGACAACAAACCAGCATTCGTTCCCGCCGGGCCACCCGGCCCACATGCACTCAGGAACCACAGTGACTATGGCGAGAGGAGGGCGGCTCCAATAAAGGGTTTCGGCTGCACTCGGGATGCCGTGTCCTGTTTGCGTCGTAAGGTGGGTGCGTGTCCTGACTGGCTCCGAGAAAGACCTTCTACCGTCCTGAGAAACACGAGTGGGGAAAGTAGGCTGGGCCTTCGCTTGGCCAAATCCCAGGACCGAGTTCGGTTTTCGTGGGATTCTACTTGTTTGCAGGCTTTTTTCTCCTCCCCACCTGCTCCTTGAAAGATCATGTCCAAATGACTGCTAGTGTCCCCAAGCCAGGTAATAGATACTAATAGAGGGAGACAGCCCTTGGGCTGGCAGAGCCGGCGACTCCCTGGCACCACACAGGTTCCCACCCTCTGAACCTCACCTTTGGCTCTCCAGACACCAAGCTCCGCCATACCTGGCATTGCCCCTTGGCACGTACATGCCTTCCGACCTAAGAGAAGTCATGGAGGTATAAAGCCCAATTTGCGCATGTGCAGCCTCACCATGGAAACCAACAGCGATAGGAGGGACATGTCCCACCTTCCCACCTGCAAAAGAATGAAACACAAACCCTGGGGCCAGCAGGTAGCTTGGTGGTTAAGGTGCTGGACTCTCACATGGTCGACCACGGTTCAAGTCCCAGACCTGACAGCTTGCTTTCTTTCTTTCTCTGTCTCTGCCTTGCTCTGCCTCTCTCTGGGGAGCACATGTGCCCTATAGCAAATTTTTTCAAAATTAATAACAACGAATAAGAAAAAATAAATAAACAAGGGGGGGAAAGCACAAGCCCCACTAACCTTCTATCCTTCTTTTTAAAAATAATTATTTAATTGTGTTTATTAATTCATTTTTTAAAAATATGACCAGAGAGAGGCAGAGAGAGAGAAAGAAAAGAAAAGTGAGAAAACAAGCCACCAGGTCCAGGACTCGAACCATGGGCGGCCATGTGGGAGTGTCCAGCACCCTTAACCACCACACCACCTGCTGGTCTCTAACCTTCTCTTCCTAAGTGTGCCAGAACTTAGTCAAAAAATTAGGGAGTGAGCTGGAGGAAGAAAGATATCATCCGTGGTCGAATGCATTTAGAAGTGCTGAGCGTGTCTCTCGGATATTCAGGGGACATGAGCAGGACCCTGTGAGTCCTCTGGAAAGAACCCCACTGAGACCCATAACCCCTAGTCCTATTTCATCTTTTCTTGGCTTATATATTTTTTTCTTTTCATGCCAATCTCATAAAGCCAGGTTCCACAGCATCTGATAGGTTTTCAAGGCATTGTCTCTCTGATGCCCAGCCATGACCCCAAGGGTCTTAGGGACCATCTGGCAGAGTGGGGCACCCATGGACTAGGGCAATAAACGACCTTGCTTCTAGACCTGCCTCTGCTCTTTATTGCCTTTCCTAGCCTCCTCAATGTTATAATCCATAAAATTCTCTCTAATGTCCATGTTTTTTTCTATTATTTTATTGGGTCTTTGGAAAAGTTACATCACATTTTTTGCATAGAAAAATACGTCACGACTTTTCTGACAACCCAATATCTAGTTTTTTGTTTGTTTGTTTGTTTTCTTAAGAGGTTTTTGCTATAGGGCATGTGTGCTTACCAGACAGACAGAGACAGAGAGACAGACAGAAAGCCAGAAATCACCCCCCTCCCCCAGGGGGGATGGCCATGCCGCAATCCCTTCTCCTCCATTCTCCTCTCGGGATCTTGGGTACACACGCACACACTCCCGGAGTGAGTTTAAGCCACCAGGTCTGGGACGCGAACCATGGTCGACTCCATGAGAGTCCAGCGACATAGCCATTACGCTAACTGCTGGTCCCAGGCTTAGAGCATCTTCTGACAGAATGCTGACCAATGAGTGCATCCGTGACACCAAAGAATGGGAGCAAGTCCCCATCTCGGGCCCGTAGGACAGCCCTGCACCTCCATCCTGGCCAGACAGATAACTGAAGCAGGCAAGGGAAGTGGAGCCTGCAAACCACCAGACACAGTCACTGTTCTTAGGAGAGAGGACAAGAGCCAGGCAATGTATGAAAACCATGTTTATTGAGCGCACCTTTCACAGAGCAACTACTTAAGCAGACAGTTTGGTCACATCACCCACCGGTTAGCACAGGACACAGGGTACCACAGAAAGTCACCGCAGTAGAACAAAATCAAGGAATTCACATTTTGCTTTAAGTGATGTTTCATTGCCATTGAACACCCAAAAAAGATGAAGCACTTTGAAACTGGGATCTTCATAAAAGACAGCCTGCATCGTCCCCTCACAAGTCCACGCATAGACTCACCCCAAAAGGAGACCCCACATTCAGTGACAGATTTTTTTTTTCAACGTCTAAAGAAATAGATCTGAGAGTCCACACAGGTGATGGTCAAAACAATGAAACATTCCGGAGACATCTCTGTGCTCCGATTAATCGGCACACCCAGCCGGAGTCATGCACGTGGTTTGTAAACAGGTCTGAACCTGTAGG